GTTAATTTAAATAGACATAAAAGTTTTTCATATTATTTTTTTAGCCTTTATCAGTTTGTAACGTTTTATCAGTGTAGGAAACATTTTCATGATTTTTTATTTATTCCACGATTTGTTGATTCATTATAGCTTTGAACAATCTATGAAAATTATTTAGCCGCCTTCTGGCAAATATGTATCTATGTGTTCGTGTCTCACAAGTCACAAACATAATGAATAACATTACAAATTATTCATTCAACTTTTTTTCATTGCAAATATATTAAAATAGTTTATATAACAGTCATTAAATACCACTTTCAATATATTGATAAATAAAAAGTGAATAAAATTTTTGGTGTATTCAAATTTAAATAAATAAAATATCTGGTGTGTTCAAATTTAAATAATTTTTGATGGGCTCAATTTTAAATCATTAAGATATTTGGTCAAATGCATATGTGTATTCAAATTTAAATCATTGGCATTTTGTTAGGTTGAAATTTAAATCATCTACCATGGTACTGTAATGTGTATAATATATATATATATATATTTATATATTTATATATATACACAATTTATTTAACAAATAATATATGTTTATAAAAATAATAATGATAATTTCACAAGATTTTAAACGTAAAATCGGGTTTTTAATCACAATAGAAAAAACACAGTAAGTTGTATTGAAAATGTGTTATGGGATAAAACAATTAAATAAAATAAAATACTTGATGGAAATAGAATGCATTAATAACTTTGACTTTTCTTACTACTAATTCTAGTAAATAGGATGGCTTTTTATATAAGTATAGATATGGAAAATAAACATTTTCATGTTACTTTCCGTTAGGACGATGAACAAGATTATTATGATTCTCGTCGGTCTTCTGGTCGCCGCCGCTTTGAGGAAGACTTAGAAAGGGAAGCTCGAGCTGAGAGGCGCATGATGAATGCAAAGAAGGCACGTCCTAACTACATCACTTCCTTCGTCGCTTTGGTGAAATTGTCGTTTATGCTTTGTATTAAAAAATAATGGATTTGTTAACAGGGACATGGCCCTAAAGATGTCCATCGCAAGGTATCCCATCCTGCAGCCAAATCATCACGACGGCCCGTAGAATTCTCAGAAAGTGAGAAGGAGGAATCCGAGTACGAAACTGAAGGGGAAGAAGATGAGAATTCCCCACCACATCGGGGTGCTGTGGAAGCCGAAGAAGATTACGCTGAAGAAGATGAAGAACATGAAAGAGGGGAAGAGGAAGAGACCTATGCAGAAACAGATGAAGAGGCTGAGGTAAGGGATACTGTCTGTAGCTGAACAATTCTCCCTCTGTTCTTCGATGCATGGAGTCAATAGGATTCATAGATTATTGGTTGTTTAGTATTTATAACTCATCTCTCTGGATTCACATGAGATGATAATGCATTAAATGGTGAGTTACGTGTATCAGTTGACATGTTAATCTAATTTCAGAATTAATTCTTATTTTCCAATATAGGCGCTCTTAGGTTCTCGACAATATATTGGATATCAATGTTGTTTCCCAAATATATATATTAAGATTTGGTTTAGTAAAATGAGAGTTGAAAATTTGTTATTTAGCATTTACGGGTCTTTACTTCGTGATGTATGTCCCTTAAATATAAGACAATTTAAATCCAATACATGAAAGCTAATTTTGGAGTTATATTAGTTCAACACTTGGCAGATCCCCATGCCACTTGTCTGGCCCTTTTCTACTATAAGATCTTGTGTTGACTGCTTTATATTTCGTTTTGTGGATAATTCATCTTTTCTTTATAAGCAAGTTACCTTTCTGTCGAAGGCTGTATTGCGAGTCTAATCTCCTTAGGCTTGATCTTTTTTATCACTCATATTACTGGCGTATATCCTACTGTCCCTTGTTGGACTAATTTGTTATGTTTGATGAAGTCTGTGTCGAAACCTCCAAATAAACGATTAGATTTTCGATCCACTGACTTGTGTATGTTAATGTCATTTCTCGTGTCAATATAATTTATCAGGAACCGAAGCAGAGTGCCAGGGATTCGCGAGGCAGCCTCAAAAGGAAGAACATTGAGTCAGATGAGGACTCTCCTCCAAGGAAAGTTACAACTCATCGGCGGATGAAAATGGTTTACGAGAGTGACGATGAATAAGGCAAGATTGTTACTGTACAATGAAGTAAGTTTTTGCCATAAAAATATACAGCATATTTAAACTATCTTAAAATTGTGCACGTTGTGAAATTCCTTAATTATTGTGTTCGTGGATCCATTCGTGTATATGTATGCTAATTGCATACCTGTCGGCATTTAATGCAAAACACATCATTTCATAAACTCATGGGACTTCAAACACATTGATTATGACCTTGGATTTTACTCAAATATTTGCTCATAGTGAAAGTCCTTTTCTGTTTGCATGTAACTATGTCGTAGCTTACTTTTGCTTTTTTTACATCTAAAGGCTTTTTTCTTTAAATTCCGATCTGAAGGCTTTCTCTGAATGTAAGTTGCTTTAAAGTCGGTTCTTGTTGTATTTTCCGGTTTCTTGCCTGACGATATAACTTGGAATTGATAGGAAAATCTGTAGCTGGCAATGCATAATGACCATTAAAGTTGATATGT